TAAGGCTCAGTGCGCCCAGAATCAGGGGTGCCCTGAGTTCCCCTAATTTTTGTTGCCTGGTCTAACCAGAGTACCGTCAAAACTCAGACTCCTCTTCGCGCCTAAGTCCCAAAACCGTAGATTTCAGGCGGCGCACTGCTTGTGGCCGCCTGACACCGGTACCTGTGCACCTAGCCCAAGGCGTTGCCTTGGGACCTGCAGAACCGAAACGATGCCTGTACCTACTGGTTTGACGCCAAAATGCGCCTGGCCTCGTTTCGGGCCTGCCTCCGGTGTACCCAGTCCCAAGGTCTGGCCTTGCGGCTGCAAGTACGAAATGGCACCTGACAGACTAAGTAAGACAGCACACACACACAGAAAGGTAAGTAAACTAAACCTATTCTAACTAGTGTGCTACCTAGGGCCTGAAGGGTCGTCGTGGGCCTCCAGGGCGCGTGCTGTATGGTACGCGGCCTGGGGGCCCCTCAGCAACCGTTTGGCCCCTCAAATGGGGCCCGTGTGCAGGCGCAGCATGCAACACCGCCCCCTCCTTATAAAGTCAAAACTGACGATCTGAAGGTGGAACTTGGACGCGGGTGCGGCGTGGAGCCGAAGATGCCGGCTTGCCTTGCAACTTGCGTTCGTAGCATGCGAGGACGTCGGGAGCTGTTGCTTGAAGTTCCGCACGGGTCAACCATCTGTCAGCTCTATGGGTGCAATATGCAAAATGGATCAAGAATTCGGTCGGCCTGTTGCCGTAACGTCGCTGGGATATGATGTCACCAACCTCTTGGAAACCGTCCATCGAGGGTGGGTCTTGCGATCGTCGCCCGGGGAAGTCGTCAAGTTCCACTGGTGTGTAGAGAACCAACTTGGAATAGTGAAAGACCGGGTTGACGGGCAAGTGGGCGGGCACCTGAATGATAAATGAAGGTCCTTCGGGTGCGTCCCCAGCGGGTGCCACGATCGGTCAGGGCCCCATCCATTTCGGAAGGAGCTTGCGAGAGATATCTTGTTCGAGGCTGAATTCCGCAGCGGAAACCCATACGAGGTCGCCGGCGCGGAACGGACAAGGAAGACGCTGGCGGTTGGCCTATTGGCGCATGCGTTGCTGCGTCTTTGACATCTGGTCGTGTGCCTTGACAAGAAGCTCTTGCATCCGACGAATGAAGAGAAGATGGTCGTCGCTCTCGGCCGCCCGTGGGATGATTGTATCCAATGGAGAATTGACCGGCGAGCCATTCTCGAACTCAAAGGGCAACATCCCGATAGCCGGATGGATGGACGAGTTGTATGCCAACTCGATATCCGGCAGCCGCTCGACCCAAACCTTTTGGTCGGGACGGATGAGAGTGTGAAGGAGGACCTGTGCGGTCTGATGTGCCCTCTCTGTTTGGCCATCGGTATGGGGGTGGCGAGCCGAACTCGGCTTGAGAGATGAGCCCCATCGTTTGATGAGCGCCAACCAAAAATCGGACATGAACCGAGTGTCGCGGTCGCAGATGATCTCCTTGGGGTAACCCTTGGTTCGAATCCAACCGGCGTAGAGAACCTCAGCCAACTCCGGTGCCTTGGCGTGATAGCGGCAAGGCAAAAACATGGCGAACTTGGTGAGTCGGTCAACCACCGTGAGAATCCCATCCACGCCTGTCTTGTGCTTGGGGAACGGCCCGGTAATGTCCATAGCAATCGCTTCCCTTCGGCCCAAGGGGACCGGCAATGGTCGCAGTTCACCGTACGGACGATGATTGCGGGATTTGCAACGTTGGCAAACCTTGCATGACTCGCAATAGCGCGTGACATCGTTGAGAAGACCGGGTCACCAAAAGCGCTCGCGGAGTCGGCCAATCGTGCGATTGACTCCAAAGTGTCTGGTGGCGGGGGCGTCGTGGAACTCGCCAAGAAGCCTCGTGCGCAAGTGTGAATCTTGCGGCACACAAAGTAGATCCTTCCCGGCACACAAAGTAGATCCTTCCCCCACGAGTGAACGAGCAAGTATCCCTCTTGGATCCGAAGTGCGAAGGTGCTGGATTGGGAGAGAAACAATTTGCGTACTTGTCGCGAAATTCGGGGTCGGCTTGATAGCCGCGGATGAAAATGTCCCGCAAGTCATCCTCTATCTCGAAGGTCGAGTAGACGGCGGTGCACTGATCCGGGCGCCGTGAAAGAGCATCCGCGAAGCGGTTTGACTTCCCCGGAATATGATCGGGAAAGAAGTCGAACTGGTCGATGAACGTCATCCAACGGGCGATTGTGCGGTTGACGGTGTCTTGGGTCTTGTAAAAGACCAACGGATTGTTGTCCGTTACCCATCGGAACTGGCGTCGACCAATGAGGAAGTGCCGCCACCACTTGAGTGCGTGAACGAAGGCGAGAAGTTCCTTCTTGCGTGCATCATCGATTGAATGCACGACCGACACTTTCTTGCTGAAGTATTCGACCGGGTGCCAGTCCACGCCATCATGTTGTTCGAGGACAGCACCAATGCCATAGCCGGACGCATCCGAGGTGACGCGCGTTGGCAATTGCGGGTCGTATATTCGCAAGACTTCCGCTGATAGCAATGCGGCCTTAAGGGCCAAAAATGATCCCCGCGCATCCGTCCCGAAGTCAAATGGTCGGTCCTCCGATTGAAGCTTGGATAAGTGGGCCGCAATCTTCGAGTATCCTTTGATGAAATGTTGGTAGTAGCTGGCAAGGCCAAGGAACGAACGGACATCCGTGACGTTCCACGGTTCCGGCCAATCTTGGATGGCTTGAATCTTGTCTGACAACGGATTGATGCCTTGTGGAGTGACGAAATGGTCCAAATATTCCAACTCTTGACGTACGAACTCGCACTTGTCACGGTTGGCTTTGTACTTGGTGCGACGGAGCGTCTCCAGCACTCGTCGAAGATGCTCGAGGTGTTCCTCCAAGGTTCGGCTATAGACGAGGATGTCGTCTAAGTAGACCAGCACGAACCGGTCTAACATTGCACGAAACTCATTGGTCATCGTTGCTTGAAAAGTCGTCGGGGCGTTGGTGAGTCCAAAAGGCATGACGACCCACTCAAAATGTCCGTACTGTGTCTTAAACGCGGTCTTGTAGCGATCTTGCGAGCGTATCAAAATCTGATGATACCTCGACTTTAAATCCAACTTGGAAAAAAAAAATTGCGCCGCCCAAATGCTCCAGAAGGTCGTCAATACGAGGAAGAGGTCCCGCGTTCTTGATGGTTTGTGCATTGAGCTTGCGGTAATCGATGCATAGGCGAAGATCCTTGTTCTTCTTCCGCACGAAGAGAACAGACGCACCATAGGGTGAGCTACTAGGCCGGATCCAACCTTTGTCCAACAAATCGTCGAGCTATGTGCGGAGTACTGTAAGTTCCTCCTCACTCATGCGATAGATGCAACCTTTCGGCGGCACGGCACCGACCTCGAGAATGACCTCGTGGGAGATCGGTCGATCCGGCACCACGCCGGTAGGTGACTCGAAGATGTGGGCGAATTCGTCAAGCAACTGTACCACACGGGGGTCCGAAGACAAGTCCGTGCGTTGAGGTTTGGCTGTCGCGACGGTGCGAAGAAAATATAGGCCTATCTCGTCGGTCTGCTCGTAAGCGAAAGTGGCCCGAAAAGATTTGGCTATTACAACTTGGCACGGGATCGAAGGGTGCGGAAGAGGGATGGTACATGGTACTTCAGCGCCAAATGCGTCGCGGACCGTAAGTGTCCGCCGATGGAAGTTGACCGTGTGATCCGCACTTGCAAGCCAAGGCATGGCCAAAATGATGTTAAAGTCCGTGTCCAAGACGTCAAACGTCACCGGTTCGCATGCATGAGGTGCGAAATAGACCGGTACGGCCTCGATGTAGCGGTCAAGGAGTTGTTGCGTCCTACCATCCGCCAACTTGATCGCCGTAGGGTGTGCCTTCCTTCGAACTTGTGGACCAAGGCCGACCCTTTGCATAAAGGACTGGCTAATGAAATTGTGAGTCGCACCGCTATCCAACAAAGCGTTGTAGGACGTTTGCCCAACTTGGATGCGGACATAAAGGAGCGGTGCATTGTTGTCGTCGTACCGCTGCGTGCGAAACTCACGGGCCACCTTGCTAACGTACGCAAGAATGTCCCCCACCGCGACTTCGTCCTCTGTTGGCGAAGTTGGTGGTGCATAGAAGGCTAGGCATGTATGTAGATGAGCGCTAAGAGTTGCACATTGCGGCTCCGGTAAGCAGCCGGTGGATGGGAGAGGGAGCCATGCAAAATCCTCGGTTTGTCAACGGGTCCAAGTCCTCTATGTTGAACGCGCGCGCCGAATCCCGGGAAGGTCCACTTGAAGACGACTCAATGCCACTGCTTCCGATCGGAGAAGAAAACGCACATACATCCTGTCCTTGGGCTCGTGAATTCAGCGAAGGTACAAGCTGGGAAGCATAGTCCCCGAAAGAATGAAGAATGGGAGGACTTACGACTTCCGCACGTGCCCCGGAACCGAGGGAGGTTACCCGTACGGCAACCGGTTCCGAAGGCGTCGGAAGTGTCGTCGCATCACTCTCGACGGTGCTCACTTTCCTGACTGAGCGGGGCCCTTGGCCTTCGTGGGACAGTTCACGGTCTCATGTGCCGCGCAGTTGCACCACAAACAATAACGGTACTTGCTGCGGACGCGATACCCGCGCTCCGTCAGACCGTATTGTATCCAAGGTTCTTGAGCTGGAGTTGCTTGGCCGGGCCCAGAAGAAGTGGTGTTTGTCTTCGTTTTGCCGCGTCCTCGTCCTTTGGCGGGGCGGCCACCATTCTGGGCAGTTGCTAGTCCGTCTCCCTTATCAAACGAGGCAGCCTCGTTTGAAGTTGACGGGTCGCTTGGCGTTGTTGCCGCGACCACGGCCACTTTCGACCGATGCTGATACGCGCCCTGGCCGGTTGTCGACGAACGGCCAATGTTCTTGGCTTCCAAGTTCGTCAAAATGATCTGCGCGGCCTTGTTGAAAAGTTCCTCACTTGTGTTGAGGTTCTCAGCGACCTGAGTTAACGCATTTTGCAACGCTGGGCACGGCCTTTTGATGAAGTAGAGCTTGATGTCGTCGAAGTTCAGCGGCAGCTTGGGCGTGCTTGCCAGACGTTGGAACTCAGATATCCAGTCTCCACTTGGCATGCTGTTCTGTGAGAATGTCAGCAACTTGTCCATCCCCTGGTGCTCGGGCGGTTCCACTTGGAACGCTTCTTCCATGCTGCCATGAGATCGGCCCAGGTGATGAAGTTGTGTAACTCGGAGACTGTACCTGCATGTGCGGACAACATGTTGTCCAGCCATGCCTGGCACACACCTCCTGACCAGGAGTACAAGTATGCGTGCCGGTTTGTGTGGATGACATAGTGGATGTCAACTTTAATTCGAACTGGCGCCAACAAGGTATAGGCTCCGTCTTCGATGCATCACAGAAGATCGGGAGCCCCTCAAATTTGGGGATGCTCTCACGAGGTGCTGAGCTCGGTGTGGCTGCTGCCCCCCCCTGCTGGTCCAGTCGCTGAGTCTCGGTCTTGAGCATTCCCATGTCTATCTCCAAGACGTTGACGCGATCGACGAGGTCGGAGGGGCCGGCGCTGGAGGTGGCGACAGGTCGCTGCTCTAATTGCTGTATGCGCTTAGTCAGCGCCTGATTGGTGTGGTCGAAAGAGAGAATGTCCTCCTGCTGTGCGATGCAAGTAGCGAGGAGGTCCGTCACGCGGTTGAGCAAGAGAGCAATCCTTGTCCCGTAGTCAAGGGAATCTCCATTCTCGGCCTCCTTCTGCCAATCCTTGGCCTGTGCGTGTAATGCAGTTTCCTTCTTGAAGAGAATCTCCCGCCGCCATACGCGTTCTTCATCGGCGGCCTTTGCTGCTGCTGCTGCGTGCTTCTGTCGTTGATCTTCGGCTACCTAACGCAGCCTCTCTGCCTCTGCCTCTCTCTTCTTCCGTGCTGCTGCTGATGCTTCTGCCCGTTGCTTGCTTTCGGCCATTATGGCCGCCAAACGTGTCTCATAGGCCTCGTCAGTCTCGCTAGCTTTCTGATCCATCCGTGCTGTTTGTGAACGAGTGAGCAGGGTCATGCGCCGCGAGTGGTTGACGTGGCCTGCCAAAGTAGGCACTTACCAAGGTTGTGGCCAGAACTGATGGGCAATTGAGCAAGAAGAAGAGGATAAGGAGTTGGGAGGGAGAGGTGGGGAGTGGGAAAATCGAGTGAATCGCCCAGATAAGGAGCCACTAATCAAAAATGAAAAGTTGGAACTTTACGAAAATTTTGAGAAAATAAATATAAATATATTAATTAATAAAATTTCTCGATTGCAAGTTCGGTAGGTCTCCTATGTTTCCCCACAACAGGTAATTCAAAAAAAAATTCGAATTTGAGACCGTTAAGAAAAGAAATAATGAATGGAGATGATAAAAATAACTGAACTGCGAAAATTTAAAAAAATCCGCAAGTTCGGAGAATTCCGAAAACATAGAAAATTTTGGAATTTCTCAAGTGAGGGGATGCGCAGTTTGAAAACAAACAACTGCAGAGAAATTTCCCGTAAAAAAATAGTTTCCGAATCTGGGAATAACGATCAAATTTCAGAATTCCCGTTAACCCCGGAACGCGTAACAAGTAAAAGAACGCAAAAAAAAATCGAAAATAAGTTCGAATAATGAATTTCAGAAAACAAAATTCGGAATTTCGAATTAACGGGGAATTCCGAAGGAAAAAAAGATGAATCGAAAAAAAAATCGATATTTCTAGACTTCCTGCACCAGAATTTCGAATTTCAAAAGAAAAAGAAAACGAAAATTCCAGATGCTATGCTATTGCGATTTTCAAAAAGAAAAATAGCGGGAAGATGAAATCCAGAAAAAAGTTCCGATTTCGGCAGTTAGGTCGAAAATTTGTGACTCTGGAACTAATTAGTGTGTCCTAATCAATCAATCAATCAATCAATCAATCAATCAATCAATCAATCAATGATTAATCAATCAATCGATCTTCGATTGTCCCCGCACTAGTGTCAGATCAGGTTGTCCAGATTCGAAAGCGGGGCTCCGATACCAAACTGATGCATGCCCAATGGGACAATGCGTAGGGAGCCAAGGATCCGCAATGTGATGAAAAGGACTGAAATGGACAATGCAAGGTCAGAGTAGCATCAACAAGCGATGTACATTCCGAATACATATAAGATGGCACAAAGTGGCGCAGTGGAAGACTTAAAAGAGAAGATCTGATCTGATCTGGATTGACCCAACATCTATCATACATCACACATGTGAGAAGGGAGGATGGACCACAATCACGGAAGAAAGGTCCCTCCTTCGTACACATACAAGGGAAGATACCACGGATGAGAGATGGGGGAAAGAGACAAGACGAAGGAGAAGGAGGCGAGGGAGTAGACCAAGATCGCAATAGCGAAGTTCCAAAAATAGTCCCTTGCCAAGTGTCCAATCAATGTCTGTCCCAGAATGTCGACTCAAATCCTGGGCAATGTGCCCAACGTAACCTCTGTCTGTATTCTCTCTCACTCTCATAGATGAAGAAAAAGGTAAGAGAGAGGAAGAAGAAGGAGAAAGGAGAGAGAGAGATGGAGGAGGACGAAGAAGAAGATGACGTCCTCCTTGCTATCTCACCTGCAGGTAGCTGTCACCGTACTAATTGTGGTCGTCGTCGTGTGCAGGTACCGCGCGGAGTCCCAGCTATGGCGCCACGTAAGTTCGTCGCTCGCAGGTAAGGCCTCCGCCTTTCTCCACTACCTACTCCGCTACTCCCTACTTCGTAGCTTGGCGCATAATAACGCTGCTTCAACCAGCAGCGTGTTGCTCCAGAAGTGAGCTACTCGAACTTTCCCTGCCCAGCCGCTGCCCAGCTATTTGTAGTGTTGGGCCGGCTGGGCCTACGTGATGTTGGCCTCAGAAAACGGCCCAGCTGGTCTGGGTCCCTACCGGACGTCCAGACCGTGCTGCTGATGCAACAAGGCGCAGAAATGCGCCTGGCCTAAAATCGGCCCGGTACCTGTGCACGTAGCCCAAGGCGTTGCCTTGGGATCTGCAGGACCGAAACGACGCCTGTACCTACTTGTT